GTTTAATTAAACCCCAATAACAAAGCAGTTTTGATGATTGTAGTATCGATAGATTAGTTTTTTAAAAGAGAAATAATTTATCATATTCAATTTCCAAGCAAAAGATTGTAAAAATGATTCTTATTAAAACAACTAAAGGAAATTAAGCAAGAAAAACCTTTCCAATGATGATACTTCCACAAGCCATTCAGTCTTATTACTAGTAATTTAAAAAATGAAGTAGTCTGTCAAGAGAAAAAAACATGTAAGGCTTGCAGTCTTCTTATTCGATGAACTAGATGTTGACTTCCCACACTTGGAATATCATGGTATTAAAAAAAAAATGGAAAAGTTCTTTCTCTAATAAATGAAATTTTAAAAAAAGATTTACTAGGCTCAATGGCAATGTTTAATTAAACCCCAATAACAAAGCAGTTTTGATGATTGTAGTATCGATAGATTAGTTTTTTAAAAGAGAAATAATTTATCATATTCAATTTCCAAGCAAAAGATTGTAAAAATGATTCTTATTAAAACAACTAAAGGAAATTAAGCAAGAAAAACCTTTCCAATGATGATACTTCCACAAGCCATTCAGTCTTATTACTAGTAATTTAAAAAATGAAGTAGTCTGTCAAGAGAAAAAAACATGTAAAGAATAATGTATAATATCCTATCCTATTTACTAGCAATCTACATCCAAATATGATTGGAATAACACAGCATAGATTTGATTGTTAAAACGCTACATATTTCTTTGATGATTCTGATTATTACCCTGATGAAGTTCAAAAAAGTTAGCTGGACAAAACGTTGGAATTATTTCAAATATAATTTCCATATATAATGAGTTCTTAAAACTCGGCGCCCAATTTTTATCAAACTATTCGTTCTAATCTTGACGAATATTCGTATATATAATTTAAAGATTCAAAATGAGGTTGCGTAAATGATCGAAAAGTCAAAGAATAATAATAAGATAAAACGAAATATGTGAAGAAGAAGAATAATTGTCTACTTAACGAGTATGAACAAAATGAAGAACAAATTCTTAAAACAAAACAAAACATGAGAGTGATAATAACAAGTAATTAAAAACATTAAAAGAAAGTATTAATAATTAATGTATTGTGTATAAAATATTAGGTGTTAGAGATATAATATCATGACAACATTACACTTGATACTTTTGTATGTATAACTCTAATATGAACTGTTGAATTACTATCACCTCTAAAACACAATTATTTTTTAAAGATATTATTATAATGTAGTTGAATTTGTTATTTAATATAACTAGTTTGTGAAACTGTTTAAACATTTCTACTTGTCAAACGTAAATTTGATTATGGTTTTGACTGAAATAATTAATAACCTGACTTATATAAATACTTTATAATTATTTGTTAATTAGTAATGATAATATTAATAATAATAATAATAATAATAATAATAATAATAATAATAATAATAATAATAATAAACGCATTAGATATACCTAATAAGTTTCACCTGTTCATCTAATTAATATTAAAGAAAACTTAGTCATTTGACTCATTATCATGGATGTCAACAATCTACAGAATCAAGGTTCAATAAGTTTTTTTGGAATAGCACAAAGTACAATGTTTTTGGTAATACATATAATAAAGAATACTGAGTACGACTTTCTAACTTTAAAAAAGATGCATTTAAAAAGAATCTCTCTAAATACATTATCTCTTAGCTATTTGAAATAGACGTATGATATAGCATAACTGAGGTAATCAGTATAACAAATTGTTATCAAACTCGAAAAATTACATTATTTATTGAATGTGGACTTCACATTAGACGTTTAGAAAACAACGTTTTCGATTTATTGTAGAAGCAAACAGATAAACAACCTTAAAAACCGTATTTCTCCTTCTAATGCTCGCTCTTTCAAATGATAACGGTCGATTAATTAGTTTAACATTAAGCTGTTATATCTTATTTTAAAATCACAGATAAGATGAAAGTTGAGTAGACAAGACAATATATATATACGCATGAATCTGCCAAAAATGGTAGAAAGGAGTTTCAGCTCAGGTGGATGCCTTTGATCTTGCTGTGTTTTATTAACTCGGTGATTTAATTTGAGCCTCAATCGCCATTTTGGACAAAATCTTCAGCGCTTATATATAGGCATGGTTATGTTCGGTTTTTTATGAGCCATTTAAGACTATTTTTTCATATAGTTCACGAAAATATTGGTTAAAAGGTAGTTACAAAATGTAATAAGATACTCTGTCATTTGTTTACCAACTTCAATATATAAATACACCGGTTGTATCTTTCATTTAGATGTGAATACACACACACAACTGAAAACTAAGACATACTCATTGCCTAGCTTAAAGAAAACAATTATTGGTGAATGACTGAAATCAATTAAGTTATGATTGAAAAGAATACAACTACTATTTTGACATAATGTAAATTGAATACTCTTATTTTGATGACAAGTTACTATTTACTCTGATAAGACTATATAATATCGAGAGATTAATGAACAAGGAAAACAGCTCATTTACCAGGTACATATTCATGTATTTGATTTCAAGCAGACTTTAAATGTAAGATCAAGTGATGCTAAGCAATTTCTCAGACTGAAGTAATTGATAGTTTGAACCTATGAATTAATCCCTGAACCAACCTCACTAATGAACAATGAAATAATATAGAACTGCAAGATTATCATGTATCGGTTCAAAGTGTCATTTGCAACTGAGTCACAACAAGAAAATTCGAAAATAGGCACACAGGAATAATGTTTCGAATGATTTAAAGAATATACAAATATAATAGTATGCTCAAACTATACACCGTATTAAAATGATTTGATGAATTGATCGAAGGTAGACATGTACACCATTGGATACAGGCTCAGTGGTCTAGAGGTTAAGTGTTCACGCGCGTAACCGAAGGTCTTAGATTTAATCTCCTGAAGTGCGGTCATAGATGGGCTCTTTGTAAGACTTACATACTAAGACGAAACGGTTGTCCAGTGTTTCCATGTTTTTAATAAGTTGTCAAATTATGTATTGGTTTGTGTTCTTAATGAAATGATTTCTATCTTAGTAATGAATCCTCAACTGTTATTTTCATTATTATTTATCCAGACATGAACAACTGGAACAAAAGATTAAAATACACAGACCTGATTTAGTTTGGCAAAGAAAAAGGATAGCTTGAATAACATTAACACTGATAATATGGTTCCTGGTCTTTTTTAACAACATAAGGTGACTTAAAATATCTCCTTAAACTTAAAATGATGAGGAAAATGAAAATTTTAAGATAAAACCAACCAACATTTAATAGGCGTATAGAGAGATCAACCAACTGGGAAACAAGTACTACAATGATAGTAAAGACGAGGGGGTCAATTTAATGGTTATTATTGAACTATTTGCTACTAAGATCCAAATTACACTACATTTTATTTATCCATTTTCAAAACATTATATCTGACATTTCAAGTCTCAGCTTTTATGACTACAAATTACATAACGATATTGATACAGTGGATCGCATGATACAACAGATATAGGAACTGTAAATTCAGTATAACTATAGTTATTTGATTATGAAGCTTCCCGGATGATGCATTGGATTGCTGTAATACATGTCATAAATGTACTACCTAAACAATTATTGAACTAGTAAACTTAGAACAATCTTATATCACATGTTTGTTCTAATATTACTATTTATATCAAATTGATCATGCCTGTAGACAGGCGTAAATTCTGTAATCATTATTTTCGGAATATATTATTATTTTCTTTTCAACTAATAGTTTGTCAGCTCGAATACAAACTTATGAGTTTAAGTTTGGGTAATCAAGTAATACTAGAATATCGAAAAATTGAATCTCGAAGTCAAGTAAATAAACCTAAACTTGGTTAGTGTATTGGATCCGTTTAATTGTTAATGTTTAGCTAAATGGCATTAATACAAAAGAGAATACTATTGAAGAACGAGAAACTTGATGTTTGTCGTTGCTTAATACAATCAAAAACTATTAAGAAATACTTGTAAAACAAAACTGATCTACATTTGTTTACGGTACATTTCGATCCGGAAAGCTACATGACAAGAAATAAATGTAATTCGTCGGCAAAATATGGGTTATTGTATCAGGGACTAGGTGTTAAAGTTTTGTCAATAATAATACCTGATTTTAAAACTTAAACAGATGATAAAATCAGTAAATTATTGAGTTTACTCACATTAGACTAGCTGGTTTAAAAGTCTAAAATATACTTTCAAAAGGGTAAGATAACCGACAGTATTATTAATTATTATTTCTAAAAAATGAATGAGGCTGCCAAAATACAATATCTATAACAAAAAATGTGAGTTTCATATTATATGGTATGATAAAATTTAGTGGAATTTCAAGATATCCCGCCTTATTGTGGACATGTTGAGGTACAGTGAAGTATTTACTCCTCTATATAATAACTATCCAATTCTTTTTTTGTATTAACACTGTGAGTTATATCTCATATTTTTATTAACATTTGATGCGATATCATGGTTCATTGAAATTGACTTTTAATACTGCTTGTTTCTGTGTTTAATAGTTTGTAGAAAAAAAAAGTAATTTTTCGGATGAGGAAAAAATCATCAATTAGTTTTCACCGAGAATCTGGTCTCGTGAGCAGCTACTACTCAGCCGTATTGTATTATTGTGCGCTAACTGTGGATCAGCAATATATTTATTTATTTTAACAGTTCAATGTTCTACCCAACGCTTTGGATTTCCAATCTGGAAGAGATCAGCTGGATAGTAAAAATAAGCTTTTATGTAAAATAATCCACGTACAGCTTAGCTCACATAAATCCTCATCTAATTCTTTGCTAAACTATCAGCCTTTTGTGAACCAGTTGACAGTGCATCTTTAAGATACAACTTATTGTAGCCGTGAAAAAAAACAAATGCAGTCAGAATGTTTCAATCAATTAAAATATTACAGATAACGTATACTTACCGACAATGATGGGCACGAATAGGTTTAATAGTAAGGCACTTTGTGCAACGTATAGGAGGGGCAGATAAATAAGAAGAATACTGTTGTAAAGATTTTGCAAATGCTTGATTTGCTGCACCGATTGGGATGCTACCCTTATAAACAATTTAAAATGGAAAGGAGAAAAAGATTAAATAAATGACTAAAAATTATTCCTGATAGTAATATCTCAGACTGTAGAGCTAAGTGACGCGAATTCGAATCCCAGAGAGGGAAGTTTCCTCATGACTCTGAGTACGCTTTGCTGACAAGTGGGAATCAGAATGGGAATTAGACCCATAGATTCCTACCGAGTACGTTCAATCGACAAACATTAAAGCATACTGCATACGATGTTGAGTGACTTGGACTGGTGGTCATATAGCAACCCAATCTATAGAGTTCGACCACCACTAAGGACTCAAAAAACATGGCATTGGTACCCAACCAGAATAATTACAGATAAGTGGTCACGGTCCGCGTCGAATCACGGGTAGCTGTATACAGTGCAAGGTTTATACATTTTGTAAATGGTATTCACTATCTTCAGATAACAGGGCATTTTATCACTAAGCAACCCAAGTAATTGGTGGCGTTCAATGTTGTGAAGCGTTTCCAGATAATATGATTATTAATATTGATAGCAAAACTAAAGAAGACATATATATCATAGTAATCAGAAGGTAGTTACGTTCGATTCAATAAAATATGGCAACATTAGTCATGGTACAGTTGACCTACAACTGATTCTTCATGACACTGCATGAAATCACAGTGTTTAAATGGCTTGACATAAAAGACTGCATATCTGGTAGTGGTGAAGTGAATTTATTTTATTTGTTCGGTAAATAACAGAAACAACGCTTACTGTACCTAAAACATGAAATGTATGGTCACCGAAGACACTTTACTATATTGAAAACCGGCCAGTTAATAATTACATATCATATAGGTTTACATATATATATGGAAATGATTCATTACACTACATTACTTTATGTAGTTGGAAAAGAATCAAAGTTTGAAGGCACTTTAACTAATTTGTCTCAAAGATCAAATCCACTGCTGACAAGCTCATACTAAACATCCAACCGGAGCAAAGAAGCCAGATTTTGGTTAACTTCGTAGATTGCACGAAGGGAAGAACAACTATTATTAGGGTTTTTACTTCTTCAGTGTATAATGGTTATAACTACAAGTTAACAGAAGACAGAAAACATTTTTGCACTATTTATGGAATATGCATTCACTTAATTGAAAACTTAAATTTCCATAAACGAACTTTGACACGTTACATTGTTGTATAACTCTTCTAACAAATACAACTCGGTTAGGATTCTATATAGATTGTACCTTTTAGTGGTACCGAAGTACAATGTAGTCCATTTACGGTTTCACAAAAGTTTGGTGTCAAATCTTTCGACCACCTCTTCAGGTATCACTTGATATGCAGCTGATTTCAATCTTTTAATTGACTGCTAAATAAGTAGTAAAAATATTATTTGTTACTTCATCCTTATTGTCAGGAATGTTATTGATATTTGTACAAGAATGCTTCTATTTTAGGTATTAAAATTAAGCACAATGTTGCGTTAAGTTGATTTATCAAAAGTGAGAGAAAATCGGCAAACATGAGATGGGAAAATGATCATCGGTCGATCATACGTACGAGGTAACAGGAATGGATATCATTTCAAATTGTTACACCACACACGAATAAAGCAAGAGAAGAAATTAACAGAATGATCACTAGCTATAATAAATTGGAAGTCGGATCCAACAAAACAACAAATATCAACTTCGGAGCATGTTAATAAACATATTCAATCATAGCCTATGTATATCTCTTCAATCGCAATCAGTAAATTAATAATAACTTAAATTTGAGTTACAAGACAATAGCATTACAAAATCAGCTGGTTATACTGACACTGTCTTAATCTAGTTTCTCATTTTGACATGCGCTAAAATGTCACCAGATGTTAAAATCTCAACCGACTGTTTTATTTAATCATTTCAGGACTTAACAGGATTCACTCGGACTCGTAATCAAATATCCATTGTCACTTCATATCACAGACCTATAACGCTAATGATTTTTTTGTAGAAGTACAGTTCAGGAGAGAATATTACTAGGCTAAACACAAATGATAAAGCTCAGATGGATATCTGAACCATACAATTAGAGGTTAGAACACCAGTACGAGAACTAATCCTTATAAAAATAAATGCAGTAGATAAGGTTGACCATTCAAATTCCTACTCTTAAGCACCAAGTGAACAAGCATGCACTCATACCGGCAAAAATTGAGTCTGTATCAACCAACAGCTTAATAATGCTGATTATGTAACAATTAGCTCATTAGTAGTTTTCAACAAAAAAACGATTACAGTACACTGTAGACAATAAAATAGTGGTTAATAACTTACTGGGTCTGTGCTGAATGCTTTGAAATGAGAAACTACTGCCAGGATGGCAAACAAATGATAAATCGTTCCACTAGTCCAGTAAAAGGCATGTGATGGAGAATGACTTAGTATTATGAAGTCTATTACAAACTCTGCATACAGAATAAGCAGCCAAGTGATAAAAATACAAGTAATCCCACAACAATCGTTAACAAACCAGATAACACCTAATGTTCGTTTAAGAGGCCGCGAATTTACAGAGCGAGTAACGGCACGAAGGCCAAGAGAACGTCTACACGGAGATAAAAAGTCGTATAAATCTCCAGAAGGAAGAAATGATACACGTAATTTCCCCGCTGCTTCGTCATCCCACGAATTTAAATCTAAATCACGAATGCCACGGTATCGAGCAGGCGCTGTATTAGGATCTAAATTGATGTGAACGGTTTCTTTGTTCAGTGTTTCTTGTGGATAAGATGAAACAGATAAATTCTTTCTATAAACGGAAGGAATCGAATTCATGTTGCCATGGTCTGAAACTTGATTTTCTAAATGTGAAAGTTAAAAAAGTAATCAAATATGTAAAATAAAATAATGTTTCATTTAAAATAAGTATTTTAGGTTGATGTGAAGAAATGATATAAAAATGTTTTCAGATCATATCAGATATTTCCCGAAAAGACGAGTTAATACTTAAACGATCTTAAGGACCAGTCAACTAAGCTTCGAAACTGTGCTGCTTACTCATATACAAATACATTCGCAGAGAAACATCCGTGGCGGTTCAAAGCATGCTCATGACTAGAACTCAGTATATGAATGCAGTACAAAAACATACCACTGAACACTAAATCTACTAATGAATGGCAACGATTTATAACCTTTTGTTCAGAAACCTTTGTCAAACTTTTTAGAACATTGAATATGCTACTACCTCATACTCACAGAACATATAACTAAATAACTTATTGCTTGAATGTGAATAAATTACTTCTAATGACATGAAGGCTGAAATCCAAGTTCATATGTTAAGAAGTGGGTCAAGGAAGTTCAGACGATACTTTTCAAGATAACTATCAGAAATACGATTTTAAAAATTTAAGCACAATGTCACACGAGTTAACAGAACTTTACGACCCGCGCAGTGGCTTTCATTAACTACTTGTTCAACTGATAACCGGTGAGAACTATATACAAAAGCCTAAACTGATCACGAGGTTAAAACCATGGATTTTGCTATAAAAAACTAAGGTATTGATGTATGTTTACAATGAAGATGTACCACAGAACACCAGAATTGAAATCAAGGAGCAAAGATTCGGTTACTCATACATTAAAAAGGTTGTAAATCAAAAGGCTCTACTTTCTTCGACCCTACTTAAGAGAAAGAAACCTGAAAGATGATAGATCCATGACATATTCTGAACTCAATAGTCGTTTTAATATCATAAGAGGAAAGGAATAAAATAAACTACTAGAATGAAATGAAGTCTTATATATGGATATATGGAAGCTTAAACTTATTACCCTCATCTATGTATTGTTCCAAATAGCAAAGAAATCATAAAATTAAGAAAACTTAATTGATGAAACAAAACAATCACAATGGTAGTCTGGATAAACGAAACCCAAGAAAAAGTGAATGTTTTTTATTAATGTCACAAGGGGTTTTGTGGATTAGTTCACAACTATTTACTAACATTAAGAACAACCTAAAATAGATGAATCAATATTAAAATTCGTAAAACATATGTCTAGACTCATATTTTAGGAGGAAAGCGTAAATTTATATATCTATATATTGACAAATAGATCCTAAGATAATTTAAAATGTCTGAAAGAGGTTTTTGATTTAGAAGCATAAGTTATGTATAGAATCAAGAACGCAAGGACAACTACAAAATAGGGATTTCGTTACGATATTGATAATTTTCGGACTAGGTATTTCATTTAAATGAGACAACAAGATAGAATCACTGGTTTTCACAAAGGATGTACGAAACAAAGTCCAGTACATCTGTAACTGGTAGATGAATACAGGGAGATTATCTACCATATTCAAAATAGGTGGAAAGAAATATCGGGTAAGTTCACTTTGGCGAAATAAGACTAGGCATCGTAGAATATACATAAAAATTTGGGGTGAATGCATGAAATAAACGAAGGTTTTTATCACCTGCTCTACGAGTTTAAATGTTCATGTCATCTTTCGACTTTTCCAATTGGGCTGATTCATCATTCAAACCTATAAGCCACTAAAAACACTCGACCAGTATTTTACACATTAGATCAAATATGATGAAGCATAATGTCTGTGGTTTCCGGAAGACGATCAAATCCTATATAAGCTCCAGGCATACTGTGGTGTGTGAATGAACCAATGATTCTTTTGTATTTGTTGAATGCTCGATTTCGAATTCCGAATACAGTACATTCGTTCATGCTTATCTAGTACTTCTTGATCCGATTACGTTACTTCTGGGATTCCTAGTTCGTACTATAATTCAAATACTCCTAATCATCATACATATGCAATTAAAGATATGGGACACAACCACCAGACTAAAATGGCACAGACATCAACATATTATGGAAAGTCTACGTAATGACGCAAGAACGAAATGAAAATATTGATGATGGTAATATCCAGTATATTGATGCACATTGAATGTTTTTTTCCTCTAAACAAAAAATTCGAATGCTGTGAAGATCATTTTTAGTGTGCGAAACAAAATAATTCTAATAAAAACTTAAAAGAAAACCAAGATGCATACCGATGGTAAGTTTTTCATCTGCACTTTGTAACAACGATTCCGAAGAGTTCTGATTCATATGTTGTGCTCTATAATGACGAAGGTTGCATTATGCAGCAACTAGAATTTGGAATTGATTCATCTTGAAACAACTAAATGTACCGAATATGTTGAAAGTGTAGACGATGTCCAATACCCAATTTCAGTTATCAATAATCAGTAGTAAGGATAGTATGTCGTAGGTCCTGTGCTAATCATCGTACCTTTTCTCCATTTGAAGTTCAGTTCCTCTTTGATCGTGTTCACTGATTGCGTTCATACCATTTATTTGGGTAAGACGACCCAGTTATTGATAGCCCGATGAGACAAATGGAAGCGCACTCTGAGTTTATATGATCAAGGCTTTCGACCCTTCTTTCTATAGCGTCGGAGGTGATCGGTTCTGTAGTGAGTTGAAAAATAGGACATAATAATACACAAATAAGTATTACAGATGTAGGATGTCAATATAATGTCAATTCACCTTCTACGATACAGTCAGACAAAAAGGTTCGGGCGTTATAAGCGCTCATCGTAACAGAGTTCAGAAAAGCCTTTCAATAACTTTATTCTTTGACGCTGAAAATTCCTGAGCGCGTCAGTATCCTGAACAAGACATTAATGAGTGTTGCTCAAGAGTTAACACAGTGTAATAAGTAGTAATAGTTGAAGAAAACCTCCTATAGTCACGTGCATGGGCCATACAGCTAGTTATGAGGATCGTTGTTAACAATTACCTTATGCTGGACGTCGCTGGCCATATCTGATTAAGCTAGTCTACATGAAGCTTCATGCAACGCTAATGACGGTGTCACATCAAACCCAAATAATTGATGGCTTTTTAGTAAGAACAAGTTTCATAAGTGTTTTCTACCTCTTAGAAGACTTCGATTTCAACCCATTGCAAGCAATGCGCTGTCTTACGTGTTGACCATTAAATGGACGTTAATGTTACGGATTGGAGCGTGACTTTAAAAATCTTCGATTGGTCATCTGTCAATAAATATACATTGACTAACCAATTTTCTAAGATAGGACAGTGTCTGATCACTAGAATGTTAGCCCGTCAGACATTTGGACGAGGTGTAGGAGATAATACCGTAATTTATATGTCTGAAACCTAACGTGCAGTGCAAAGTGAGCACTGGTCGCTAATGAGAACTGGTCCTGGGTTTTGATGACATCATTACAATGGTGTGCAATAGCGAGGTTCAGCAATGGTAGTCGACTTCCTAAGTCAATAGGAATCGGTTTTCCGAAACTTCGTACAAGTGCACACTGAATAATGGTCTACAGCAGGACCCCATCAAAACTTTGACGTGAAGCTGTCAGCTTTATCCTGTTGACGAGTAGCGTGTCGAAATCTACGACAATGTAATGACAAGCAGCCTCACTCCAAGAACAAACATCATTTAAGACATAGTGGTCAGCAAGACAGTATGGGATACAGTATGCTAATACTACAGTCACTAACACACGTCTGGATTTAATTTATCGACAAGCTACCTCACGTGTACCACTAACCTTTGCCATGTGTGCACTCTTAGTACATTTTTGTGATGAGCTTATGTAGAACAACTTACCTATTTGCCCCCAATCATTGGTATCGAGATAAAATTCCGAGCCATTGACATTGTTAAGTGCGGATGCGCTCATCCTTCGCCTGGTTGACTCAACAGGGCTCATGCTTGTAAACCTGGTAGTTATTCGGAGGTTGTATCGCATACATATAGGTGAAAACATATGTTCTAGAATAGTGAGAGACTTGGATAAGCTCAACCTGTATTCCTCAGATAATCGTCTCACATTTTCTCCATGTATTTTCTTCACTTCGCACATTTTAGCTGCTCAACTTTCTAGATTGTAATGGGAAAATATGTGCTTTCAAAATCCTTATTGCATTATGACGAACTCACAAATAACCAGCAAAGTGACTCGAACTTGTTCAGTCGAGTGGCAAGACAGTCACCTACTGGACATCACAAAAATCTAAAGATGCATTAAAACAATGATGAGCAAGCCTAAACAAAAAATGGTTTTTAAAAAGATCACGTAGATATTGGATGTTGCGTATTTTCGAACGGGAAGTTTAGTCCTAACGTGATTTGCATATATCAAACTTTTGCTGTGTTCTTACGCAACAAAAGTACCATTTCAGTTCTAAAAAATCTATCTTGAGCTATACGTTCGGTAGATTACTTTTTTTTGAGTTTCACTATATTTAATAGTTACCTGTGGTTTTGCCTCAGCTTACTATTCGGTTTTTTTTGTTTTTCACGTATAGACTAGTTTCAGTTTATATCACTCGTTTTGTCCGTTTTTGTCCGTTTTCAGTGTGCATTTTAGTGTTTTTTTTAAAAAGGTCTTAAGCTTTTGCCAGCATCTATAACATAGTTTGCTTCAACACCGTCATGAAAAACTCATGCAAACGTCCGGGATGCCGTTTTGCTGTCACAACTGGCATGCAGTGTGACAACTGCAAAGGTTGGTTTCACGAAGCATGCACAAATCTGACAGCAACTGCTTACAACAAACTCAGCAAGTCAGACCAAAAGTGGGTATGTGTCACGTGCAACACGGACGCAGTAGTCTTGCTGAGTAACATCATTGTCCTACTGACAGGTCTTCGAAACAAGCTGTCAGTTAACTTGGAACACGACAGTAAAAAAACCGATATACAAACAAGAGCGCGCAACGGACTCAAAAATAGGGATGTCGATAGGTATGTCATCGATGGAGCATCCATCAACACTAACGACGACGTGTCGAGGCTCAGTACCATCATTACGTCGACGGTACTAGACTCCCTAGGCAAACTCGGGTCTCCCAGCTCAGGGTCCCCGAACACAACAGTGGTTCCCAAAAACCCTGCAGGCGATTCGACCCACGTTAAGAGAGCCCAAAAGAACCAGGCATCACCGCCTAAGCCGAGCAACCCAAGTGTTGCTGCACGGAAAATAACTGGTGATTTAGTCGCACAGTCTACCCCCAAGACTGTTCGTCCGGTCAATAAAGAGCCCAAGATTCATAAACGCACACTGACCTCCAAAAAACAAGTTATCAAACCTGAACCCATCGTGAAACCTGGTAAATTAACAACAGTTCGTGACGATTCTCTCATCATCATGAACCTCGTCGACAATCCTGACCTTCCTCTCAGTCTGCAGGATAAAAACGACAGGATGCTGTGGGGTGAATTGAACAAAAAGCTCGAACTTCCTAGAATAGAGCCTTTGACGGTCACCTGGCTCACTCGAGGAAAGGATTCTAAGCATCTAAATCACCCGAGGCTTCTCCGAGTAACACTTAAGAATGCTACCGACGTAGAGGACGTCTTGCTAGCAAGTCACTTACTGAAATCAGATGGTAACGTAAGAATATTGCCCGACATACCGTACTCTGAGCGCAATATCATACGAAACGTCCCTAAAGAATCTCGCGAGAAGTTCTTCCGCGGAAGAAACATAATTGTCCAAGGTATACCGGAAAATGCAAACCCTACTCAATCAAATTCTGACATCAGGGAATGGAAATTCATCAAACAGTCCTTGAGGCTCAAACACATACTGACTCAGCATGTGACGAGACTAGCCAAGAAGGACGGTGATCTTAGACCCCGTCTAATGAAGATAACCTTCCCATCTTCCCACATGGCGGCTGCAGTTCTGGAAGCATTTCGTGCTAATAGACGTCGATTGCCACCTGGAATCCACATGCACCCGGATAGGCCATACGAAGTCAGGACCAAGAACAAAGGCAAGCTGGAGCTGACCATTCCACTTGTGGACTGTCTAAACGATAAAAAAACGTGTAAAGGACAGAGCCTACCACCTCGGCAAACCTCATATAGGTGGGCTACCTGTCCATTCACATAAGGTTCATACAGAAAAACAGGACGAAGCTCATGCGTTCCAAATTGAAAGCATCAACTGCTTATATACGAACGCCGCGAGTTTACCAAACAAACTGGATGAACTACGTGAACTTAGCAACGCTAGCAAGGCCCATCTGATAGGAATATCTGAAACCTGGATATCTTCTCAGTTCTCGGATCAAGAGTTAGCATTGCCTGGGATGACTTTGTTCCGCAACGACAGAAAAATAGGAATTGGGGGCGGAGTAGCCATATACATAAGCTCTTGCTTGGAGGTGCACCAGGTTCACAACCTCGAGTTTAACAATCTTGAGGAATCCATATGGTGCTCTGTAAGGTTGTCTAGTACTTCCAGGTGTCTAGTCGGAGTCATTTACAGGAAGCCAACTGCCGACACCGAGTACGATAGTCGTATGCTGGAAGGACTATCCCGCTCTATCCGTCTCGGTTTCACACACATCCTGATTCTAGGGGACTTTAATCTCCCTAGAGTCAACTTCGCGGAACACACGTACACTGGAGGCGACAACTCAACTGAAGCTCGGTTCTTCAACCTCATCGATAACTTGGGCTTATATGAAAATGTGAGGTCGGCAACTCGTTGGAGAAACAGTCAGACACCATCGCGCTTAGACTGTGTATTCACTAACGAAGAATTCCTAGTCGACAACCTCTCAATCCTGGCTCCTCTGGGAAAAAGCGATCATGCCGTCATAGCCTTCAGTTTTGTCATCAAAACTAAGCTAAGTTATCCCAACAATAATTTGCGATGGAATTTTAAACGGCTGAATGTGCGAGCTCTACATGACCATCTACAACAGGTGGCTTGGGATGTTCACCCTCAAATCGATGTGGATGGTCATTGGGACTTCTTGCTGCACACGCTCTTACGTGCTACAGACCATTCAGTTCCTCAAACGGTTCCCAAAAGCTTCAAGCCACCTACAGTAATCAAGAACCGTACCCTTCGCCTCCTAAGCCGCAAACGGCACTGTTGGGCGGAATACAAACGAACTAATAACGATGGAGCGTATAGGCAATACAAACATATCAGGAACACATGCACGAAGGCTATAAGAGAAGACAGGCTTCAGTACCAAACAAAGCTTATGGACAAATTCGCCTCTAACCCTAGAAGCCTATTCCGTTATGCAGCCTCTCTTCGTCAAGCCAAAACAGGAGTTTCTCAACTGCTAGGACCTAACGGCCCGACCAACAACGATGGCGACGCCGCCAACCTTCTGGCGGCCCATTACTCTCAAACATTTCAACCGGCTGA